AACCTCTGCATTTTTCTAAGTTTTCTTCACATAAAGGTGCAGTCTTTGTGGCAAGGCCTAGGCATGACAGTCGGAGGACTCGAGGGGGATGGAGGACTAGTGGAAGTGATCGGCTGGCTGCTTCCAGTCAAATAGAGAGGTGAAAACTGAGAGCATTGTGTGCCAGTAATCTTCAAAAGGCAAAGATCATCCTTTAAACTACTCCCCCATAAACTGTTCTCTCATGAAATAAGCAGCCTCATTCACAGTTCACTTTGCCCTGGTATTTCTCTTCTCTCCATGCTTTGCATGATTTTGCCATGGTGCAGTACTGTTAGTTTTGTGCATACTGTCTGCTGTGATCTGTGGGTCTTTGAATTTCGGTGAGTTTGAAATGTTGAGGAAAATAATTACAAACTTCAATGTTCAATGAAATTTTTTTTCCAACCATGAAATGGAGAGAGCAGCTTTAAAACGTACTAAGCCTTGTACAAATTGGTGAGTACTGGCACATGAAATCTGAGAAAAAGTCCACCTCTCACTTTAGCAAGTGGGGCAGGAAAGCATTGGCTTTTCTAAATGCCTTTGAAAGTCGAAGTTCCTCCACCTATATGTAGTCGTCATGTCGAGACCTGCCAGAGAGAGACACATTCTCAAGTGAACGCTGGCTTCTTGGAAGTGCTTGCCTAGACGAGACAGTGCATAAAAACAACTTGGTGACTTTTGGGGGACAGGTATGTTTTTCTTGCAGCTGCAGTTCAAAGGTCTTGGCAAGACGAGCAGTGTGGCCCTTTTTTTTGAGCTTCTAATGAGTGTGTATGTCAAGGACCTTGTATGTTTTTACTCTAAGGTCCTCAAATGAGCACATGAAGAGGCTGCTGTGAGCTTTAGTGGCCCTACTGCAAGAAGCATTCAGATGTCACTTGATGATTTGTAAAGGGGACTCTTGAGTTGTGATTGACAAGCAAATGCATACTCCTTTATGGTAAGGTTTTGGATCACAGGGTGGGTGATAAGACGGGAACAGATGGAGTGTGCATATCTTCTTCTTCCACAATATTCATGCAGAAATGGATAATTCTAACACTGTTCTTTGCAGCCATTATTTCGTTGAAAGTACTATTGTCTAACGTTTATCTTCGATTTGGCTGTTGTGGTGTGCAAAACTTTGTACCTCGCTTTTTGCCACACTGCAACACTTTACAGATGTGGAAGATGTGAAATTTGTCATCAATTATGACTACCCTAACTCCTCAGAGGACTATATCCACCGAATTGGACGAACTGCCCGCAGTACCAAAACAGGCACAGCATATACATTCTTTACTCCTAACAATATTAAGCAAGTAAATGACCTCATCTCTGTGCTTCGGGAGGCTAATCAAGCCATCAACCCTAAATTGCTTCAGTTGATTGAAGACAGAGGTTCAGGTAAGTGCTACTGATAACAATGCATAGCTTTGCTCTCAGAACAAACTTGAAATCTCCAGCCTCCCAAAAATGGATATGGATGGTAGCTTATTTGGCAGTTATGGTGACCTCAAAAGGTGTTAAGGCTAGTAATGTGAGCAAAAGCTCCCCCCACAATGTTGTGCTGTAGAGCATCTTGTTGTGAGCTGTAGCTGCTGATTGCCACAGATGGGCTTCAGGCTCATTTGTTCTGTCTTAAAAGATTTCACAGGGCTCAGCTGTTTAGGTTCCTCTTACAGTTAAGAGATGCTGGATGTAACTGTCCTGTTGGTGAGACCCAAACAACTTTCCTTCATGCCACCGCTCATGTTGCGGGGGAGAGCGTGTGTCTCTGCCTTAGTTAAAGGAGTCCAGCTTGCCTTGATGTAATTCTGTGTGCCCATTGAGTCCAGTTAGAAACTGGAAAACCCTTCAGTAGACTTGACTTGCTGGGGCACAAAGGAAAAGAATGTTCTCTAGTCGAATTCAGCAGGTGGTACATAAAATGCAGTCTTTATCACTCTTACATCTAACTATGTCTAACTGTCTTGTCTCTTTAATAGGTCGTTCCCGAGGTGACCGACGTGACAGATACTCTGCGGGCAAAAGGGGTGGATTTAGTAGCTTTAGAGAGAGGGAGAACTTTGAGAGAACTTATGGTGCACTAGGGAAGAGAGACTTTGGAGCCAAAGCTCAAAATGGGGCCTACAGTACCCAGAGTTTCAGTAATGGAACTCCTTTTGGAAATGGCTTTGCAGCTGCAGGCATGCAAGCTGGCTTCAGGGCTGGTAACCCTGCAGGAGCTTACCAGAATGGCTATGATCAGCAGTATGGAAGTAACATTGCAAATATGCACAATGGCATGAACCAACAGCAGTATGCATATCCTGCCACTGGTGCTGCTCCTATGATAGGTTACCCAATGCCAGCGAGTTATTCTCAATAACTTAGTGTATTTAAATGTCTCAGTTTTTCATAATTGCTCTTTATATTGTGTGTTATCTCAGAACAGGATAGTTATTTAAAGAAATGGGAAACGCAGAAATGACTGCAGTGCAGCAGTAATTATGGTGCACTTTTTCGCTATTTAAGTTGAATATTTCTCTACATTCCTGAAACAATTTTTAGTTTTTTGTACTAGAAAATGCAGACAGTGTTTTCAAAGTAAATGTACAGTGATTTGAAATACAGTAACAGAAGGCAGTGCATGGCCTTCCAATAAAGATATTTGAAGACCGAATTTTCTTTCAGATGGCAATTTTCTCAACATGTGCACAACTTTACACTAATGGAATGTCAAATGTTTTTATATTCTAGAAAGGTTTCTCAACTGTGTCTGATTAAACATTTAAGCTTATATTAAAAAAAACAGCCTTGCCTTGATTGGGCTAGATTGCTTAGCATGGCAGGCTCTATTTGGTGGGGAAGAAAACAAAAGCTGGTGTCTAAATAGCAGTTGGAAATGGTCTTCTTCCTTGTCTGGTTAGCATAGGGCCAGTTTGTTTTTTTTTTATTATTATTTTGGTAAAGATTCATTGGAGTAATGGTATAGCTGAAAATCTTGCTAACCAAAGCTCTGCTGAAGTGGTGTTGCTAATGAGCTTCTGCTACAAGTGTAGGAAGCTTTTTTGCAGCACCATAACTGTTGCATATGTGCAGACTAGGCTTGAGTGTAATGTGTCTACAGCTGTCAGGCCTTGTGAGTTAGCATGCAGGCTTACTATGAGCTTCAGAGAAATGGGAAGATCTTTAGTATTAAACCTTCAAATTATACTTAAACTCGTATTGAGCAGTGATTTCTTTGCGGAAGTGGGAGGAGGGAAGTGAACGCATGTATGCATTTTTTTTCCAGCATTTGTACATTCACTGCACAGCTATTTCACACAGCTAGCACCTCTGTGCTCAGCAAAGGAATGTTCTGAAGCGCTTCCTTCATTGGGAGCAAAGCTGCTGTCAAGCAAGAGCACTTGATTCTGGGGTTGTTACTAAATGCTTTCAAGAACAGTAGCCTGAAATTTAACGCTCATCTTCAGTTCCCGCTCTTACCAATAACCAGTTTTTAAATGCAACAATGTTTAACTATACTGCTTTAAGAATCCAAGTAAGATTTTGTCCAGGTTATTTTGAATCTGAGTCACTGATTTCAAGCCTCTTGGACTTCAGTTCTGTTTTCCTCAGCTTGCTTTGCTATTGTAATTTGTTCTCCCAAGCCTCAACTTATACTATTAGTAACTACAGTGTAATCCATTCTTAATATTCTTTTTTTCCTATGAAATTCTGTCGCTTTGTAGTACTCTGAACTGTGCTGTAAATTTTCTTCCCCCCCACCCTCCTGACAGGGAGTAGCACCAAACCTTCGTTAATATGCAGCCCAGCTGGCTCGTAGGCACAGTGTAATGTAGTCCTGAGGTGTACTGACAGTACGGATTTTTAAGGATGGAGATTCCTTGTGCACCTCTGTGTACTCTGATAGAAGTGGAATAATGCAACCCTGTCCCTTCCTAACTTTCATCCTGCTCCTGAGTGTGAGTTACTAAGCCTGAATGTCCGAGGGGGTTTATTTTTGCTGTTAAAGGCACAGTTCCTCAGCATTTGCACTTAAAGCTTTCCTCGTTCTCAGTAACAGAAACGGACTTGGGGCTTTGCAATGAGTGAAACCAGCCCTGGCTCGGGCTAGCAGGCTCTAAATGGCGTTCTTCTCCTCTGCCCTACTAACGCTGCTCCCCGCTCAGCCCCGTGGGCCTGGCTGCATTCAAGCCGCGCTGCTGCCGCCTCGCCGAACCGTAACATCCGCGCGCCCTTCGCTGCCGCCGCCTCGCAGCGCTATCTGCTCGTTCGGCTCCGCCCTCTGGCAGCGGTACAAAGCTGTGATTAAGCGCGTGTGGAATTTTCCACTGCTGCAGCGCGGCCGAGCTGCTGGCTGCTCCCCGAGAGCTGCCGTCCTGCGGAACGTTGATTTCCTCTGCAGCGTTAACCCTCGGCGGGATGCCGTGTATTGCTGCACGGCACGAGGAGCGCGGTGCAGCCGCTCTGAGATCTGCGTTAAGCGTTACGATTTTTTCATTTACAAAGCCTTTGCTCTGGGGAGCCCGGTGGGCACTACAGCCGAGCGCGGGGCTCCCCTGTCTCACCGTAACCTCCCGTGGGTGAGGGGCAGCGAGGGCAGTTCTTTACTATGAGCGGTGAGGTGCTGGAACAGCTGCCCAGAGAGCTGTGGATGCCCCGTGCATCCCTGGAGGTGTTCAAGGCGAAGCTGGTTGGGGCCCTGGGCTGGTATGAAATGGGGAAGTTGGTGGCTCTGCCTGTGGCAGGGGGTTGAAAATTCGCGATCCTTCAGATCCCTTCCAACCCGGGCCATTCTGTGATTCCGTGAAGGCAGAGTGCAGCCGCAGGGCGGGGCCCCACACAGCCGGAGCGGGCGAAGGCCGCGAGGCGGCGCGCATGCGCATCCGCCATGTCCCCTCGGCCTCGTGCGGGGCCGCGCGCCGGTCCCGTTTCCTGCGCGCGCGGCAGGTGGCGCGTGCGCGGTGCTCGCAGCGCTCCCCTCCTCAGCCGTGAGGGCGGTGGGCAAGATGGCGCTGGGCTGCCGCCAAGGGTGCCGTATGTGCGGCCCGGGTCCCCTGAGGCGGTGGCCACTGGCCGCCTGGGAATCGGAGGCTGGGCCTCCGGCACGGCCCTATGCGGCGGCCGGCGGCGAGGCGGCGAGTGGGCAGGAGGAGCTGCTGCTGGAGGTGTGCCGGAGGCGGCACTTCTTGCGGGGCGATCCGGAGCTTCGGGCCCGGAGCGCGCAGCTCCGCTTCGGGCCCCTGGGCGTGGCGCTGCGGGGCAACCTGGCGGCACAGTGGTGGGACGCGGTGCTGGCCCGCCGGGAGCAGGTGTTGGCGGTGGATTCCCCGGTGCACGGCCGTCCCTCCGCCGGCTCCCCGCAGGCTCAGGGCGCTCCGCGGCTGCTGCACTCGGAAACCCTGCGCGAAATTCTCCAGAGCGGGGGCTGCGGCCGGGAGCCAGGCGGTGCGGCTCTGCAAGAAGCGCTGGGCAGCGCGGGAGCGCTTCGTGAGAGCCTCCTGCCCGGTACGAACGGCGGCACGGCGGCGCTCCGCAGGGCTCGGGCAGCCCGGGCCGTTCGCAGCTGCCTTCAGGGGAACTCGTTCTCCGGTTGTGGCATCGCGCTGGGAGGGTCTCATTGCTGCCATCTGTACTCGGGAAGCCGGGCAGCACAGCGTCGGTGTGCGCTTTACGCTTTGCCCTGCGATGAAGGCGTAGGATGCTGAAATCACAGTGCCCGCAGGTACGGGCTATGAGCTGCTGAGCTCATGTCCACAGAACACAAAATATGATGCTATAAGTATAAACAGTATGTAGCAATGGGGTCTTAAATCATCGTTACTACCTTCTTGTGGATATGCTAATGCACTGTATTCGTTCCTACTATAAAATACCTTGTGGCTGCTGCAATTACTTGTCTGTCTTCTGGCAGGTGCTTTGGCACAGTATGTTAGCTGCTTAGAACTTGTGAACAAGAGACTGCCCTGTGGCCTTGCTGAAGTTGGAGTATGTTTTCACTCCATTCCAGGAAGTGAGCAACACAACGAAAAGCTTAGAAGGTAGACTAATAAAGAGTGATAAATCTCTCTTCCTACCTAAACAAGTATGCATAGTTGTTTCAACTTGGATTACTCTTGAAAACCGTTTCTTGCTTCTTTCCTGTTGTTTCTGAAGGAGTTAACTTGCTGACCTTGCTATTGTTTAAAGAATAGGCGAAAGGACTACATCGTTACTTACGTGGTTTAGCTCTCCCAGAACTGCAGGACAGTGGCTTGATTATTGGTTACGTCAGAGACTGCAATGGTGGAGAAAGGTAACAGTGGTGTAATATGGGCAATCTTGACCTGCTCCTTTGTTTTTTCACGGAGAGGGGAAATAAGCACCCTGATAGATTTTTTGATGAGTTGCCAATTCTTGTAAGTGAAATACATAAATTCCTTCCAAGAAACCGAAAAATTACTTAAGATCATGACAAAGCCATGAAGTGGTTTGTGGTACACTTGCAGAAAGGTAAAGGTTTAGAGATAAAAGCATTGTGAAACAATTGAAGTGATTTGGGTTTCAATTTATGAAAAGAAAAAAAAAAAGATGATAAAATTGCTGTGCACCATAAGCTTCTGTAGGCATCACAGATGTGGCTTTTGTAGTTAATATAGCATTCACAATAGTGGAACACCTCTTATATCTTTGACTTTCAGTTTGCAGTGGGCCCATCCAACTTCAGCAGCAGTGACTTCCAGGATGAAGAAGGAAGGCGGGGATTTAATTTGCATTATGACTTTCCTTGGGGGAAGGAAACAATAGAAACATTGAAAAACCTTGGTGACACTGAACTGCTACAGATGTATCCAGGAGACAGATCAAAATTACTGGTAAGCGTTACCTTACTGTATGGAGAATCTTTTATAATAAAGGTGAGAGAAACGTTTTATTTGCTGATCCAATTATTTATTGACTGTTTCTTTTTCTTTTCTGGTAAAATCAGTATAGTTGATATGCTGCTATCAGACCTTCATTGGCAGATGTTATAAAATAGTGATGCTGCGTTGTTTATGCATGGAGATAATTCTTTGAAAGTAACAGTGAGCTGTATTGTTCTTCTCTTTGTTACAAACTAATTGAGTCACTGTTTCATGTTAAGGTTGCCAGTAATTTTAAAATGCAGCTGATTGTAAGATAGGTCTGAATATATGAAGGGTGCTTGAGCTCACTGCCTCCTTATACATTTAAAATAAATAAAAGGCCCTCTGCAGCAGTCTTTCAGGTGTCCACCCCATCACGGTTGGTTGGTGGCTTTTTGTAATTTATTTTTTTCCTCATCAGGGCCGGGATGGAAGGAAGAATGTTCTTCCTTATGTTCTGTCTGTGAGTGGAAATCTGGACCAAGGAGCATTAGCTTATCTCTTTGATTCTCTCCAGCTGGCTGAGAATCCTCTGACAACAAAGAAAAATTCGCAGAGAAAGGTAACTAGTGAAAGGGAGAATGGATGATGGAGGGAAGGGATGTGCTTAAGTGCTGGGCCTGAATGCCAAAAATCACATCCTAGGTCAACAGAGATCAATGTGCCTGTGAAAGCAAGCAGCAAAGTGCTTTTGTTGTCTGAGAGCATTGTGTTGAGTACAAACCTAATAATTCATAGAGAAAGTAATAAATTCAGTCATCTCTTTTTTCCATATTTCTATTCCCTTCCCCAAAGGATGCAGGCAGAACCGTTTTCAGTGCTAGCAATAGACTGGGCTCACGGGGCTACTTCTGTAGTCCTTTTTACCCACATAAACAATTTTTCTCTCATTCAGAGATCACTTTTCCTTTCATACCTTCTCTCCAGTGATTAGTAAGCTTTTGCCATGTAAGTGGTGTCATTGGGAGGAATTGGAATGTAGTTGCTTTGAGAGGGAGAGAAAATGCTGGGGAAAATTGTCTCCTCTAGCAGACTTTGGGGGTTTCCAAGAGCAGAAAAGCTGGGTTACAGGTAGCAGTGAGGCATTTTCCCTCAGTGACCATCATGAATCCTACTTTCACTGAGGTTTTCTAGAGTTACAGTGCTAGCATTCACACTGCTTGCTAATCAAACAGGTGTTTGTCTTTAAGAATAAGCAGTAGGCTGGATAGTAACTGCCTAGTGGGCTGTCTCTTTGATCTCCTTAGTCCCACTAAAGCTCTGCTAACTAATCTTCATCTCTCCTCTTCTGGGACTCAAACAGAATGGTAACTTACATTCTGATTACCTAGCTGGCATATATATCGAGTATCAGAAATATGGCTTGCTTTTTTCTAGTTCAGGATTTTGAGCTGTAAGAAAAATTCCTTGTGTTTAGAACCTTTAGTAGCAAAGCTGCTTCATCTCAATGAAAAATCTTCAAATGACTGCATTATGTTCTGTAGTTCTGTCTCAATGTTCACACTGGCCATATTCAGTAATCTCTTGCTTTTTGTGACATTATTAGGTACTTAAACTTCACCCTTGTTTAACACCTATCAAAGTGGCTTTGGATGTAGGGAAGGGCCCAACAACAGAGCTGCGACAGGTATGTTGTGAGAACACGTGTTAATATACAGTGTTAACTTCCCAAGTGACTTTCAACTGAAAGTCAGGCACTGTTTATGTTGGTGAAAGTGCTGCTATTTCAATCCTGAGATTCATGTTTGCACATATTTCATAATGCTTCCTCCACAGTGAGCTTGTGAGTCATGGCTGAAGAAGTACAGTGAGGAAGCAGATGCCGTCTTTGCTTTAGCACACTGCTTTAGTACTGTTAGGAAGTTTGAATTTGTTTCATGAAAAAAAAAAGGTAAAATAAATAACAAAATCCCTCTCGGGTTCTTAATCTTTCATAGTCATCTTAACTCATGGATTTTATCTTCAGACTTTAAGGTTTTTTGTTTTTTTTCCTTAAGTCAGTCATTAAGCCAGTTGCCACAGGAGGGAAGAAACTTAGGCTGATGTGTTTTTTAAATAAAAATTGAGATTTAATTGCTAAACAGCTAAACACAATGAGATCACTTCAGCCAGTAAATTAACACCAACTAGGAATGCTAAAATTGCAAGTAACAGAGTTCAGTTTGTTTCTAGATTCTCAAAATGGTTCTTTTTACTTTTTTTCTTAAATAAATACAGGTTTGTCAAGGGCTGTTCAATGAACTATCAGAAAATAGAATTGCTGTGTGGCCGGGTTATCTTGAAACCACACAGCTATCTCTGGAGCAGCTTTACACAAAGTAAGGAGAAACATTTTTAGTAAGTTAATGTACAAAGGTAAAGGGTGATTTTCTGTGAACTAGCAAAAATGTGCTTTTTTCAGCAAGAAGTTATTGAGTGCAATAACCACACGAATAAAGGCATATGGTCTATAAACTCAGATTCTATTGATTTTTATTAGAAGGAGCAATGCCTGTTCATTTTAAGAATTGAATGAAACGTTAGCCTTCCACGCTTTTTCCAGGGTTGTTGTTTGAATTGTGAGATCTCTGTTAGAGACTCTCCTATGAAAGTAAATTTCTTAAGACGAGTCATAAACTTGCAAAACTGTCTTCCTCTTTTTTTGCATCTGGGCCAGTTCTGTGTTCTATTCTTAAGTACTGCTTCAGCTGGCACGCTGTGCCCAGTTCTGAACTTAAAAGTTCCTCAAGCCTAAATGATGTATGTGCAGGAGTTATTTCAGCAAATAAAAACCAGTATTCCAGTTGAACTCTTCCTACATGATTTGTGTATCAGCAGTACATTTTGAGCTCGTACCCATCGATCATGAGCATATTGATGAATAATTTCTTTTCCACAGAGAAAATGTGCATGAAAAACAGATACAATGATTGGTTCATGTACAGTAGTCTTCAAAGTCTGGCTATTAAATAACAGAATAATCACTTCTATAAAAATACTCTTATAATAGGTGATTAAATAACAATTGATGCTTTAAAGTAATGTAATAATTTAAAGAAATGTAGTCAGGAATGTTCATAAGAAAATGAGTGTCTTGGCACTGAGCTTAGTGCATCATAGCCAAAATAAATACATTCAGGTTATGATACGTAATTTATCTGCAATTTCATACATCAGAAGCAGTCGTGGATGTGATCTTTTCTTTGCAGGTATGATGAGATGAGTGTTCTCTTCATGGTCTTGATAAGTGATTCTACTCTGGAGAATGGAGTGGTCCAGCTGAGGAGCAGAGACACTACCATGAAGGAAATGATGCACATTTCTAGGTTGAAAGACTTTTTAACCAAGTATATCGCATCGGCTAAAAATGTATAAACTTAAATATATCTAATAAAAGTAACTTTTGTAAGTGTCTGTGCCTGAAATGATTTCAATGGTCACAGATTTAGCCATTTTGCAAAGAGTTCTGCTAAAACTTAATAATGTATCACCTTTCTGTCAAATCAATGTCTTCCAGGCTACCTGGAAAAGAAGAGAGAGACAGACTTGTCCCTCTGCAGCAGGGCTAACCATATTGTCTTTCTTGTCTTCAGTTTTACTCTCTCTCTTTGGTTTTACTTCACTCTGAGAACTGAGAAACTGCTATGGTTACCACTGGGTAACAGCAGATAGAAAAGTCAGATATGGATCTTCTAGCCTGGGAGGACAACAAAGTTGAAATAACTTCTAGTAATGCCTAAAGAGTTTTTGATTAATTTGTGCTCTTATACAATCCAGTTCTTATTTCAGGAATAATGGTTAAATGCACAGGAGATTCGCTCTTGTCCTGACAGTGACTCCACTGTGCTTTTGGCCATTAAAAATAAAAAATGACAAGAAACTCTTGTTTATTTAACAGGATTGCTATTTGTTCTTTGTAATTGCAATCCACCTGTTAGATGTTTTGTTTTATAACCATGGTATTACTTAAGGATTTTTCTTAGTAGTAGACAACCAACTATGTGATCTGTTAAGTAAATTTTGGCCAGGTAATCAGTATCTAAACATCATCACTGAGCAGATGTGGTGGTACTTATAAATATGTGAAAACTGAAAGATTCTTTATAAATGTGTAATAGAGTTAGTTAATCACACAGGCCATGTTACCTTGTGCTCCATCTCTGATGAGGACCTTTGTATAGATTGTAGCACATGCTCTGTTCTCTGTGAAAAGAGTAAAATAATTCATGTTGATATTTATTTTTTTTTTTTTAGTAAAGACACAGCAGAAGAATTAACACACCATCAGCAACTTGGTTGCTAATAACATCTCCTGTATGGTTCCAAAATTAAGCTGTGGAATATTTCCCCCTTTAGCTTAGATGAAGTTATACTCTTATATTTCCCATGGTAAGTTAGCAGTTTCAATATGTAACTGCTGCTATTCACCTTACTCTCTGCTGTTCCAACCCTAATCTTCCCCCTCACCCCAAACACAGTTGTGCACATCAGATATTCCACCACTACAAAATAAGGTTTTTACCTTGTTCATCTCTTCTTATAACAGAGAGGTTGACATATTCTTCTTCTGGTTGAACTGGCTCTGGATTAAAGATGAACAGTGGTTAACTCAGTTACAAATGACTGAACTTTGAACAGATTGCAGGAGCTACGTTTTGTTTTGCTGCAGCTTGCTTGTAGCCTGTTTTCAGTTCTTAATTAATGGCCACTGCACCTCAGGTTTACTTATTCTAGTTTTCTTTTCCTCTGTAATGGCTGTTCTATCCTCACTGTAAGTTACCAAATGCAGTTCTCCATTTTATTTATGGAACTTCAGTGCATTTAAGCAGTTGTGGTTTTGGCTGCATGGCAGATTGCCCAATAGGTGGATGCTGAGTTGTGTCTGCCATGGCATGGTCAGTAGGAGTACTAATAGCTCACTTAGCAGGTGTTCCCTTCTGCTGTTTCTGCAGTGTGCAAAGGAATTGGTCCATGCTAGCTGTGCACAGCACAAGAGCATTCTTGCACTTTGTACAAACTCCTGCATATTTCAGTTTTGTGGCTATGTGGAGAGTGACGTGAACTTGCCAATCTCTGCGTATGTGACGGAGTCTTCTGCCTCTTCTACTTTCTCTGTTGAAGTACGGCCAGTTGAGAACCGAGGAGGTGTAAATTTTTCTGCAAAAAACAAAACAAAAGCCAACCTTGTGCATGTATCAATTTGTCTCAGAGGTGGTTTAGCAGTTCCATTTTATTTTTGAATATTTATTGATCACGAAAACAACATCTTTCCTTAACAGAGGCATTTTTAATAGACTTTCTTTACAAAGAACAAAGAACATCCATCTCTTTTCAGTATTTGTCTTGTTTCAGCTATTTCTTTGCTTCCCTCATTTTATGTCTGCCATTGAAAATGTTGGTAGAAGTCTTACACTGAATGTCTTTACAGCAGGCTGGTTAAAAGGAGAGTTAACAACTTCCTAAAATGCCAAGACCATAGTTTGTAACATGTTTGCACACTACAATATACTGAAGACATAAACCAGCCCCTCCAGAAAATGAAACATGTTCAAATAACTCACTTGCTTTATATGAAGGGATTATGAAAAATGGAATTGCCAGAGCAAGTCCTATTGCTAACAGTAGTAAGGTCAGTCCAAGGGAAATGATCAGGGGTTGAGAATTGCTTCTCTCCTCTGGAAGGAAAAAAAAAAAAAAAAAAAAAAGGTGATTATGTAAGGAAATGTTATTTTGTATTCAAAGTCTTTTCTGCCAGCTAAAATCACAACCTTGCATTTCTTTCAGCTTTTGGTTTAGCTGTGGTTAACAGAACTACTCAGAGTGCAAATTGCACACAACCACCACAGCTGAAGGAGGGGAGGCTGCTGCTGTCAATGACCCTCTCTTTCATAGAGATCAGAGAGAAAAGGGAAACTGTTATTGCCCCAAGGCAGAGCGGAGTGGACCAGGGATCTCTTCTAAAAGTGAGTCCTTTACACTCATCCTCAGAGTCACTTCTACTGTTACTATCTAGGCTGCATGTTATTGTCTTTTGCATTAATTTAAAAGTAACTCAATTTTTAGAATTACTATTGAAATAATTACAATTTGAGCATTACATTGCAGGAATAACGTTTCTGGCTAAATAACTGCATTTGTACTGTATTCTGTCCTTGGCTGCTTATTGGCAATAGTACACTGTGTGCTACGTGCATACCTGCTAATGTGAAATTGAAACTGTTGCTGTATTTTGTATTATTGCGAAGGCGATTTTCAGCTTTGCATTTATACATTCCAAAGTCACTAGAGGATTTGATAAGTACGGAAATCACTGCTGCTTCCCTCTTCTGCATCTTCACCGGGGCTTGGATGCTCTGTCTATCTTTGAAGAATGTGTATGTGATAGGGAGAGAGCCTTTCTCTGAGAGACAAGACAAGGTCACGTTTTGACCTTCCTTTGCTTGAGAATTGGGTGAGCTCAGCACCGGTTTGGAAACTGGCTCTGTAAAAAACAATAGCAACAAAAAGAACCTGAAAAGATTTCAGTGCTGATTACAGGACAAATTCCAAAGCAAGACTCTGAATTTAGCAGCAACATTAGAGAAAAAGAGATGCCTATAACGGATGAAGTATTCAGTGGGGCATACCAGAACAACACTGCTGACTCCTGAGGGAATGATAGCAGTTCACAGAAGTTCAGCTCCATCACTAAGGAGGGATGGTTTTACTAGACCAGGTTTGCCAAAGCCCCATCCAACCTGGCTTTTAACATTTCCAATGATGGGGCATTCTCTGGGCAACCCGTTCCAATGCCTCACCACCTTTCTTGTGAAAGATATCTTCCTTGTATCCAGTAAAATAAAATGTGCTGAAAATTAATACAGCAAGACATACCTTTAAGTGTGAAGTTGAGACTTCTGCTGTATTTTTCACCATTGGAGATTTCATTCTCAGCTTTGCACTTGTATTCACCCACATCGCTGGCAGAATTGATAGTTAAGTTAAACAAAGCTGGAGTCAAGTCTGTCTTATTTAAAGCAGACACCTTCTGACTGTGTTTAAATAGTGTATATCTGACAGGAGGAGATCCAGAGTCTGAGTGACAAGAGAGGCTTACGTTCTGGTTCATCACTACTTCCAAAGTACCATGAAGAGGTGTGAGCTTGGGGTTGGAAAGGATCTCTGGAAAGAAGAAACTTGTGTGTGAGTTCACCTGTCATTGCACGAAACCCCCAGGTTATTCCCAAAGCATGCTGATGTTTAGGCTATACTTAATTCTATTAAAATAGATGTTCATTTTTTTTTCCTACGCTTCCTACTTCCACCACAACTTTGTGTTTTTCATTATCAATGTGGAACTCCAAACACTTGATGAACAATGCATGCTTTCATATACAAGAGAGCCACACGCACACAAAGCCAACAGATGCATTTAGATGAACCAAAGAAAAACTTTTGAACTACAGCAACATTTAAAATAGTTATAGAATAAAAGAGAAATATTACAAGGTGTTGATTGTAGGAGAAAGTAGTTTTATAAGCTAGTAAAGAGGTAGCATGTGCACCTAAAAGTGAAAACAGTATTTTGTCTGTGACCATGTGTAAACAGGCTGAGTTAATCTCACATATGGTGTCTGAACTTTTGACTTTTCAATAGAAGCAATTGGAGCTTTGATTTTGTATCAACTTGTTCTGCTTTTATGAGATAACACTAATGCATATCTAAGAATAACTTGCCTCGTCTTTTCATATAAATTGGTAATAAATCAGTGTAAGATAAATTCCAACTCTTTTGGAGGGAGAAAGACATCTTGATATCTTCAAGCAATTTTGAATGTACATAGAAATGTACATTAGTAAAGATGAAGTTAGCTTCGTATAGAAGCTTGCAAAGCATCTCAGTGCAGCCAGGGGCAAAAGATTTAGTCTTACATGAAGGCTCTTGTCACTTCAAATACCTTCCCCATTTTTTGTTGATTTCAGCCCATGTCCCAAAACTGAAAATAAAAAGAGCCTACCTCTGCAGTCTGCAGTCGCATTCTGAATCTGTTGAGAGATTTGAGCTGGAAGAAGAGGAGAAACCTTTAAGACAGGAAATGGTGGTTCTTATTTAGAAATATTTGTAATATGTGTGAAGGGTGTCCTTGGCTTACGGTAAGAAAACAGCAGAAGTGTGAAAAGAAACATTTTTTTTTTCCAAAATGAAGCTGGTCCAAGGTAACTGTTGGAGTTGCACTAAAGGGATCTTAGAGGAGTGGCTCTAGCAGTTGAGGAAGTCCTAAATATGGAAATAGCACTGATCTTTGCTGTTGATATTTGCATGAAGATTCATGTTCAGCCTATGATGGTCATCTTAGAGTTGTGCACAGAAGAAAAAGAAGAAAAGAGAAAGGAAGAGCGGTTTGGAATATAACTGGATGTTAATGTAGAGTTGTTCTTAGATGTAACTAACGTAATCAACTTTTTCATGTTTGAGAGCTGTGTAATAGAACTGTGCTTCCATGTAGTAGAAAAATAATTGTAATTTTTTTTAGTATTGTTCTTACAGAAGAAGGAGATCACCAATTCATATCTCACAGTCACACATTTGCTAGAGAGAATGCAAGAGATCTTCTGGTAGCATATGACTGAGACTAAGGGAGGATGTGGTTTCTATTTTTTATCAGTGCTCCCATATTAAAAAAAAAAAAGGACAAAAAAAATAGTACTTAATTCATGGGAGTTTTAAGGTAATAAGAAATATTCCTGGAGAACCAGCCCATTAAGAAAACATTTTGACCAAATTTAAAATACTAAGCTATGAGGAAGTAAGATCTCACACTAAAAGGCACAGATCTCATCACAAACTTGAGGTTAATATCACTGCACAACAGATTGATGATTAATTTGATCATCTAATCACTAATACAAAGCTCTACTTTAAACTTTCAGCAAGTAGGTGTTCACAATTCATCATCCTGTGCCTCTGGACACAGTAAATCTTTAGCTAATGTTCCATAGCATAAACTAGTGTTTTGTTTTGGTCAGTACTATTAGTATGGGTGGAAAAAGCCATTGTTTCTACCTCTCCATGAGTCTGTCCTTTGATTCTTCTTTCTTTGATATCCTTTTGGGCTTGAGACCCAGTGGTCAGAACTGAGAATCTGACATTAGGAAATATTAGTTATAAACTCATAGGCAGTTCTGAATTATTAAGATCTCCAGGTCAGAGCTTACATTCAGCAGAGCAGTGCTCAGTTGCTCTGCTGTTCTCTGTTCCTGGTGTATACAGCAGTAATGCTGTCCATGTATATGTATAGGCAATGCCTTTGGAAGAGCTCCAGGCCCTGCCCATGTGAAAAAGAAACTAGAAATGCAGCTAACGTCTTAAAGTGCTGTGGTGTGTCTGGTCTTATTTCTCATCGATTCTCCCATCTCTGGAGGCAATGAGCCTGCTGTGCTGCAACACTGAAAAATTTCCTCACAACTTCCTTCTTCTTCTTCTTTTTCAAAAAAAAAATTTAATTTCCTTTAAGTCAATCTTCCTCCCTGCTTGCATTGCTTATGTGGAAATGATGACAATTAACCACAAGGCAAATATTTATTTTGCAGCTGGCAGGAAGCATGTGTAGAAATGCAGATGTCGAGAGAGGAACTGGGAGCATTTGTGCATTTTCCTGTTGCGGCAAACTGTTCTTCATCCCAGAACAGCAGCACAGCCCTTAAAACAGTCGCAGGAGGGTGGTGGAGAAGGAGAGGTGTGCAGGAGGCAGTGTGGTGCTGCATGCTTCTCTCTTGGGGGCAGGGGGTGTGTGGGTGAGGCAGTGGGCAGCTGCCTTGCACAGCTCCCAGCACTTGGGATGTGTTTTCCAGACTGAAATAGTTTGGTTTTGCTCTTTTTTTCCAAAGGAGGAGTTTCATTTGGTGTGTGTCTGTATTGGAAAGCAGTTATTGACAATCTGTCCGTGCCCTTTCAAAGAAAGAAGTTTGGGTGTCTCTGGGGCATCCCATGTACAGCCTTCATCTGAGAGATTGGTTGCTTCCCTCACCAAATACAGTCAGGGCATCTGGAATTTATCCCATAGTTCAGTGCATCTGTGTCCTCACGAGTTTTGTTTTATTTTCTCTTAAAATTTGGGTTTAGGACTTGAAATGGGAGCAAACATATTTCTTTTGGCATATGCCAATCATTGCAACTATACATGTAAGAGGAAGGGAAAGAACTTCCTTCCATTTAACTATCCGATCCCTGTGCTTACCTGTTTCATCTCCCTAAACACGTTTCCTTTTCAGCTCCTGTAATCACCTTGCAGAGTGCAAATGCAGTCACTTTTTACGTCAGATCTTTGAAGCACTGTGACAGGACGTGGTGGCTGGGCCTTACTGATGAGGTTTGTGTAAAAGCCAAGCTGTGATTGCTAGGATAACACTAGGGGCAGTAATGATGTGTTGGTTAGAAAAGGAGACTTCAGATGAAGTTCTAAATGGAAATGATTAGGTTATGTTAATAATAAACAGGCTTCCAGTAAAAAAAAAATAAAATAATGTGATTACTTTTACTTGAGAACAAAAATAATATAACATTATGTATGAAGGCTGTGCAGTCTTCATGCTGTATCAGTATTATTGTAGGTTTCCAGGGAAATCTGCATCTTTCAGTGGAATTATAAATGTTGTTCTCAGTTGTAGTTTCTCATCCTGAGAGGTTCTCCACTCTGGAAGAGCTTCTGGTACTGTAGATGTCTGCAGAGGGCTTTGCTAGGAATCACCATATGCATACATACATATACCATATGCATGCTGCTGGAAAAGAGAATCCTGGGGAGGTGTTACCAGGGACTGTAGATAAACAAGTGAAACTCACATCTCTGGAAGAAGGAATATCTTTTTTTTTTTCTCCTGAATGAATTTCCAAAGCACGTGGCAGCGTGTGCTACATGAAATGCAATCAAGACTTGGATTGCTAGGTTTCTTTTCAATATGACACCAGGTTGGTTAGGAAGAATTGATCCAAATAGTAATAATAGGTTAATACTGTTGTGTTTAAAAGAAACATTGCAATGTGAAATCTTCAGCAGTATTCCCTCACTACCAGCTTTCTGGTTCCTGCAATTACTTTTCCATATATCTTTATATTGCCCTTTGGAGAAGGTGTTGGATATCAGTAATTAAGGGAAAAGCTTCAGAGGGAAACAGTGGTTTAATTGCAAAAATATGGAGGGAGACAAAATGTACTTTGATTTAGTTTCTGGGCCTCACCCAGTAGATGGCACTGTTATGAAATGTAATGGGCTGAGAAGCACAGATTTACAGCTACACAATTTTAAAATAAACTACAGAATTTCTAGATTTCTGAAAAGAAGTCACTTTCTTTAACATTCTTCGTAGATATCCACATCCACGATTTTTAATATTATTTATTCTTCTCTTGGGAGATGTAAGGAGACTTTAAAAGTATTAAAAGACAAATGATACAAATGTCTCATGCTCAAGAGAAGACAATATACCCTAAAAATATATGCAGAACAAAATCAATTTGTTCCTAGTTCCCCAGGGAGCTGACTAGATGTGTGAGAACAGTGACATTCACTGTAATTCCCTTAATTCTGAGCATGTTGAGACAGGAAGTGTTAATAGAGTGAAATAGTTCACAGCTGTAAGGAACCACGGTGTCAGGAACAGCAATTAGAAATCAGAGCTACTTTTTCTACTATTGATTTGGTTACTGGAAGTTTGTGTTGACGTCAGTAAAGATGGGTTTGGATCTCAGACATTTGGTGATGCACTTCTGTAGCAATTCATTGCTTTTGAAGTAGATTCAGCGTGCTGAAATTATGTGGAACAAGCTTCAATGGTCCCACAGTGTTGTGCTTTTATTCGGCGTTTCATCCTTAAATAAATAGGTTTTGACTTGGATTTTAGGCAAAGCTCTGCTCAGGTGTCAGAGCTTTTTAGGAATTGATACATTTAACCAAATAGCAAAGGTCCCAGCCAGCAGAAACAGCTATTAGGAATTCACAGATAAGCACAGCTTTAATACTTAAGGGTTTGATTTACTGGCCTTTAGATTAAATTAATAAAAATCACCAGTTGTCGAAGGAACTGTGTGCAATTCTTCAGTCTGATTCAGAAAGTGTTACATTTTTTTTATCAGTCCCTCTTTTCCCACAAATACAATAAGGGACTGAAAAGAGTTCTGTAAGTTGTGCATACTTGAATAATTTTCTGTTCTTACTTCTTTCAGAAGAGCATGTCCTGAGAGATTACAGTGTACAGAGCACAGCTACATGTAAGTTTATATACTTTATGTCCACATGATCTCCAGTTTGACAATGGGAGATGGTCTTAAGCTCTTCTTCCCCCTTTGGAATGTTTTTCTCTCAAGTTCCGTAATGTTTTGTGTTAAATTTCTGCAGTTGAGCTTACCTCTCAGATTTTGGCCAATAGCTGCTAGATTTTTCTCTCCAGGGTAATGCTGAGGTTTTATTAAGAATGTGACTGTCTAATTACACTGAGAGGTCTTCTGAACATCCTTGATTTGTGGCGTCTGAACAGCCTTGGATTTGTGCATCGTTAAGCTGTACTGCTGATCCTAAAAGCTGATCTTTCAGCTTCAGTCTGAGACTGGCCTGCTTCTGAGCTCAGTCATGTTGGATCACTCTGACAAACACTGGCTCCCACCCATTTCTCTTTCCCCCTTTGTGGCTTTGTCCCCTGGTGGGAAAGAGTGCTATGGTTTTACTAAGCTTTCTATGTCATGCTGAATTCTTTTACAGAGCAAGGGGGAAATCTCCTTCCTTCCTTTTTTTTTTCCTTTTTTTTTTTTCCTTTTTATTTTTTTTGTTATTAATAGCAAAATTTATCAAACTTTTGTTCTCCATCTGCTCTGTGTCCTCCTCCTCCTTTCCTTTACCTGGCTCTGGAGACCATTTTTGGGAAGTAGCCAAACCACCAGTCTTTGTTGGCAGTGTATTTCAAACAGCCTGGAGTAAGCAGAACAAATACTACTGCTAGTTATCCAGCTTACTTCTTAGTCATTAACTGCTATGAATGCTGTGCCACTCTGCATTCCTCCCTCCTTGCGAAATAGCCCTGTAATAGCTGTGTATTGGCTGATGAATAACTGAAAGGTGCTGAACAATGAATTTCTTTAGAGTTATAAAATAAATATTATTTGGAAAAATTAAATCAGTGCTTAAATCTGCCATTTCTGCAGTGCCAGATTATTTAAGATTAAAAGCACATACATGGTACCAACACAGAAGGGTAGAGCAGAGATAAGGACAGGGCAGATCTCTGCACTCTTCTTGCAGTCCTCGTTCCGCCCAGTTCACCCACCCTTTCACCATCTGAACATCAACAAACTGGCCATGGTTGTGAGTTTGTGGATAATTATTAAATTCCAGTTGCCTTCACAAGTAGTCTTCTGTGGCACAAGTCAGCCTATTGATGCACTTGTCTTCAGGCTTTTTACTTTCCTTAGGCTTTCCCTGTAATCAGAAAAAGACTATTTTGTTAAGAAGGTCAATAATTCAGATGTTCTGAATTTTACACCAGCTCCTTGCTGTATCTCAGGCGGACGTCGACACCAACAGAAAATGAGAGCAAAATGCTGAAGTAGAATATTTTCCTGAGGTCACAGTTTAATTTCTGCTTTTTTTTTTCTTATTTTTTTTTTTCGTGCCAGTGCTGCTTCACATCTCTGCAGGGAACTGAAAGAATGAAAGTTCAGCCCGTTCTTTTCTTCTGGGGTTCAGCGTTTCTAACTGTGTTTTGCACTGTCCCAACGACACAAAGTAACAGCCTGTGCCTGTTTGTGTTTCTGATGTTTGACAGTAGTAGAAGAGGCTCATCTGTCAGTATTCTAATCTAATCCAACAGTAGCTGTGGATTATGAGCTGATTTGAATTTGTTGTGAACTCCACATTAAAACAGCAGAGGTGGCAGACCTGGGTGTGAAGAGAAAGGAGAAAAATGAATAGCTGTACATGTATTCTCTGCAAGAGTCGGGGTGAAGAGAAATGTTTGCTGAACGTCTGCTAAAGTCAAATAGTGAATGTAATTTGTATTCCTAAATGGTTAATTGTGACTTAAAAATACCCCTATGGACAGGAACTACAGGATAAATGTCCCTGGAACTCCTTGTTATTTTTTTTTTTAATACACCTTAAGAAATTAAACAAAGCGAATGCATTTGGTAGCGCCCTCAGGAAAAGTCCAGTCACTTCCTGAGCCGTAATCTGCCTGTGAGCAGCAGATAGATTCTCATTGTTTGCCATTTCCAGTAATGGGAACGATCACTTGACCTGGCCAGTTTCTGCTGAAGATTTACAAAAACTTACAATTTTTAATGGCAAATTTTTATCTATTACCATAGAGCAAAATAAAGCAAATCTGATTTGGGAATCTGGTGGCATCACCTCGGATGATGAATATTGCTTTATTTTGGAAATAAGTGTCTGTTCTCCAGGAACGAGATGTATCTTGCTCTTCTGGTGATTTTCTTGCAGTGTAAGTTTGATAACTGAGTATCTGGATGTGTACCTGTTCTTCTGACTTGTCTGTGGCTTTGGTGTGGTGGTGTGATTTGATATAGTTTCCTGTTGCTGTTTCTCAATCCGTGAACTAAAAAGAACATTTTTTTTTTACTTTTTTTCCAGGTTCAGAAATTTGCACTCAGGAAAGAGGTAGGTAAATATATTTTCTCATGTACATATTTAAATGAAGTAATTTTTTTTTTAAATTTTTAATTTAATTTAATTCTCAGTTATTAGTGTGCACATGAGAGTTTGTGTGGTTTGCTGTCCTACAGCTCTACAAAATTTGCCCATGTAAAAGATACCACTTGGTGGTCCTTCCTAGCAAAGTGTTTAAAAGACATATAGACTGATCATATTTAATAAATATGTTGAAATTTTCCTAGAGCAATTTGTTTGACTGAGGCGTAGAATAGAATTAATTACTAGCATGTTTGGTTTTTTAAGCTCTTTCATTCCTACAAGGAAGGAGGTAGGATTAAAAATAATAAATAGAATATGAATTATGGTCACTCTCTTTTGCTCTTTCTTGCAAAATATCCCATGAGCGAATCTGAGCAGAGTACAGAGCATGCATCCTGAAAGAAATGCAGCACGTACCCTCTGCATCCTTCCTTTTTCCCATTGCTGTAGAGAAATGTTTGCTCCTGGTTGTCGTGCAGTCCATTCATGAGTACCTGGTGACTGGGCATGGTAGGGACTTCTTCAGATGCAGGAAGCAGTTAATTTCTAAAGCAAACCATGCACAAAGTAGATATATCCATAGCTGTACGTTCTAAGGGAAGGGAAAATAAAGTAACTCTTAATTCTTTGTCTGTATTTCCTAATCCAACTGTGTGAATAAAAATATTAATTATACTGTGATTCTAATAGTCATAAAATTTTGTTGTGATGTATTTATAGTTTCTTAAGTGAATTAGCTATTGTGGATTTTGTGTGTGTGTGCCGGGGGGGGGTTGTTGTTTTATTTTGATGTTTGTTTGTAATCAAAATATGCTGTATTCAGTATATATTTTTTTCAAAGATGACAAGTTTAAATTCTAAATTAAATGGAGACAGTACTTCTGCCTATGATTCTCTGTTGAGATTACTTAATGACTGTGATGTTAAGGACAGCCCATAGTGTCAAGTCAGGCACGTACGTATTTGCTTGCAGATCCTGAATCCAGATATCTTCTATTATATTCCAGTAAACTAATCTAAACTAGAGGTTTAAGATTACCCCAAGTCTGTGCAGTGCGTTTAAATGGAATTTGTTGAATAATGTGACCTTACTTTCAAACTAAAAAATACTGGAATAAATCCAAGGATTCCAGTTATATGCTTAGGGATGGGCTGTCTTGGGGTTTCATACAGCTCTAAGCTGCCTTAGACTGTATTATTTCATTTGCTCAAACAAGGATACATGCAAAATTTTGTTCAGATCTCTTAGCAATTGCAGTTGGAGACAACAAACCATGAGAAATAAGGAAAGCCAAGAAATAGCTGCAAGTCTATCCCAATATTCTCAGTGTCTTTTAAAGAATTTAGCAGGCCTGGCCAAATCATTAATTCATTATGTCCCACAAGGAAAAGACTGAGGAAATGAACATTGTGAACTGTGATGGTCAGTAGAGGCTTCATGTACCTCTGTGCAGTGGAAGGAAATGCTGCTACCACTGTTAACATCTGTAGACCTGATTACAAAAATTATAACATATACTGCTGGAATACATTGAATTAATTTTACTGATTGAATTGTAGCAGCTTGAGACGACAGTATTATGTTGGATGATTTGAAAATAACTATAACTTTTTTTTGTTTTCCATCAAGTTTTTACCTTCAATGCAGTTCACATCAAGGTTCAGCCATCTGTCAAAGTGAAGAATGGAGCTCCTATGTCAATTATATGCCGTGCTGATATTAGCAAAAGTACCGATTTCAACTTGCAGCATAATATTACAATTTTTAAGGATGGCAAGCTTGTATTCATGAATGTATCAGGCAAAGGAGACGCACGATATGAAGTACCCATGGCTAGATCTTCACATACAGGAGACTACCAATGTGCTGTGGAAGCAGATGGAAAGATAAAATACAGTGATTCCCTACATGTTTGGGTAACAGGTGAATATTCCTTCAAACATGGCAGTTTTCTAAGGTACAAAATGATAACAGCCTCTGGGAGTAAATAATAATAGTGCTAAATAGGATATCTTGCAAAGTACTTTTAATCTGTAGTCGTCGTGGGGCTTTACAAGAGTTTCATACTTGGTCCTCATGTTGAGGCACAGAAATGAAATCTCTATCCCAAGGTTTCCTGGCAGATCAGCATTAGTCAGGAGTGGAATTTGTGCCTTCAGAATCACCATCCCATGCTGTACCTCCTAGACTAGAAAGTGTTATTTGTGAACGCTTGTTCCTACAGATCATAAACACAATAACAGGGGAGGCTAGCTTGCTGGAAAAGCTGGAAATAGAGATTTTCACCTTGTGATAACCATCACCAAATCTGGAGTCAGATGGAGGCTATTTTTATAGCCAGTGTTATATCCATCTTGTTTCTTTATCTCTTATGCAAACGGGAACCACCAATGTTCACAGGTGTGCAGCTTTAAAAAATTCCCCAGCCGAGTTCTTTCAAGCCATTTTCTTTTGCCCGCTAACATAAATTGCTGCTGCAGTCATTAAAGACAGAGTTTGATTTAGGATTATGCACTGATCTATTTCTTGCCTTGTTTTCTTCTCTAAGGAATGACCAAACCAATTCTGATTGCTGAGAAAAAAGAAGTATTTGAGGGTGAAGTCGTGAAGTTACGCTGTGAGCTGCCAGAAGAAGTGCCTCCATTGCATTTCATTTTCCGGAAGATGAAGATGAATTCAAAGCCTAAAGAAAAACTTAAATATGAACTACAGAGGAATTTTTCTGTTATAGAATTTCCCATTGAAGAAGGGGATAATATTTTGCAATTTGACTGTTTGGGTAAGAGAAGTGTAAAATTTGAATTTGAAACCTCAGAACCCAGCAACAGAACACTTATAACAGTCAAGGGTAAGTTTCTGAGTTTTTCTTTTTAAATATCTTTGCTTTCCATAATTAAAAAGTTGGATTGTGATTTTATGTATGCTCTCTTGCAGAACCATTTATAAAGCCAACTCTGCGCATCAAGCCCTCAAGTAACATTACAGAAGGAAAAGAAATACAATTTGAGTGCTCGACTGTAGTAGCCAAAATGCATGACATTGAAATCATACTTCTGAGGAATAAAACAATACTGAGCAGCGTACGAGATCAGACAACTCTGAAATATTCTGCAGTAGCTACTCTGGAGGACAGCGGTGAATACCTCTGTAAGGTGGAGGAAGGGAAAGCGTCTAAAATTGCCACACGGAATGTTGTTGTGGCAGGTAACTCTTCTGTTCATCTTAGATTTTACTCAGTGGAACAATATTTAAATTTGGTAGCTTGCAAAAGTAACGTCCAGATTCAAAAGTAAGTTTTCCAAATTAAAAGGCTGTTTACGTTTGGGCTTCTGATTTTTGTCTGCTACTAATAATTTCAAATAACACATAGGAGATGTGGACTCCAGGTAATTGCTACATTTCTGTTTTCCTTGAAAATACTATTATATTACAAAAGCATGATGTTTTGTTTTGTTTGTTTTTTCCCTGATAGTAAACTTCTACTTTATCCTTCGTTCTGTGTACTTTGGGATACGCAGTCATGTTCTTTTATGTTATATTTGAACAAACTGATTCTCTTTTTAATTTTCAGAGTTATTCCCCAAGCCAGTATTGACTGCTTCTATGAATAAGCTGGATGAAAATAAAGAATTAACTTTGAGTTGCAGCATTAAAGATTTTCAAAATGCTAGCTTCTCTATTTTACGGAGGAATTCAAATGGAGACATCCTGTTGAGAAATTCTAGGAACTTAACAACGAGAGCTAATGTGAATGATACTGGATCGTATATCTGCAAAGCTGAAGTGAACAGAATAGTCAAGGAGAGCAAGCCTGTAATGATACAAGTTTATGGTGAGTTGATACAAACATTAGAACCTAGTGCTGGGGGAAGAAAATCACTCAAACTTATTTGTAAGCTCATCTGTTTACAAACCAGTTTCTAATTCATGAACTAAGAGGGTATTTGTCAGTTTTTGAATGCTTGTTTCTGTGAGGCATGCTTGCATTCTTTAGCTGTAGAGAAGTTTGAGCTGTGCTGACCAAGTCAGACTTCTACAGGGTGGGCCCTAGGAGTTCGGGCTAACATGTCTTCCCTTTTATCCTGTTCTCTTGATTCTGCTGGATGCCAAACAAAATCTCATTCATTACCATTTGCTGGAGCTTAAAGTATTCTGCAATTTCACTCAACAGTTTGATCTGAAACTGTCAGCATCAATGTAATTGGCAATATTTTTTTTTCTTTCTTTCCCATTTTAGCTCCAGTTTCCATGCCAAGTATTTCTGTTTTCAGTGGTTTACCAGAAGTGGTTCTGGGGAGACCTCTGAAGTTAACCTGTTGTTTAATGATGGGAACACCACCAATAACATTCACATTCTACAAGGGAAATAAAGCTAAGAAAGAAATAGTAACTAATAACACATGTGCTCTTTTCTTGGACGAAGATATTAAACAAAATGATAAAGGACAATACAAATGTGGTGCTAGAAATCATCACTCCAGTGGTATGAAAACTAGCAAGATTCTCAACATCACAGTAATAGGTAAGTCTGTTCAGTTTTTCTTGCCTAATGCCATCTTTTGATTCTTTGAAGCAGCATATTACAGACCAAGCAAAATGGATGCAAAATGTTTATAAATCATTTGAATTGAAACTACTTGGAGATCTGTATCACAGGCTACTCGTCACTAATATAAAAATCCTGGTAATATTCTGAATTAACTACAGCTGAGTTTAAATAAATGAATGAATCTGACTTGAAATCTTATTATACAACTAGTCTTATTGGTAAAGCATAAATGATTTATTAATCTTGCACCAGGAGCTGCAGTTGCTTAATAGGTCTGAAAGTCAGCCTGTAATTATGCCATATCTGCAAATAGGAGGTACAGTGTGCGAGCAAAGACTGCTCTACCTGGGAGTTACCTTTGTGCTCAACTTACTGTACAGTGATTTCACTGACTTGCAGCAGTTAAGAGTGAGAGAGCAGAACTGCACTGCTGAATGGGGCACTAGGATATTTGAAATATGGGAAAGAAAAAGATAAATGTGAAAAAGCTTTATGCAGAAAACAGTTCTGCAGTGGGCTACAGGAGACTGATATGATAACTCTTAAATCAGAAGTGTGTGTGATATAGAGAGTTTTTGCCAATCATTAAGAGGGTAGAGTGTCTTGTTTTAGTAGAATTTTAACCATTGTACTCTTTCTATGCATTTTTTTTGGTGCTGTCAGAGCAGATGTAGTAAGACTTCACATGGTAGTTCCTGATTCAGATCCTGGTGCTATAAATACGTTTTCAGTTTTGTGTTACAGCTGTAATGCAAACTGTAGTGTTTTGGTATTAAAGAGGAAAAACTGGAGGTTAACAGGTGGATTCTCTCTGAGTTTACTGAAGAAATGTGGTTTTTGATGTTGATCTGTAGAACAGATGCATCCTGCATTGTTGCATCTCTTCCATGTCAGTTGGATCACTGCACAGTTGCAGGGCATGCTCTCTGTTCTCCAGTAAAATCTCCAATTCCAGTATTTACGTCTGCTTAGACTAAAGAGCTGGGAATGCATCTCACGTTCATCAAGACTGCTAGGATATGCTTTGCTAACACTAGAGAGAAGATTCAATATAAAATGGTGAAGGTATTTGTCCAGTAAGGTTTAAATTCTAAAGATGCTTTTGAAGAACTTGATCTGCTAGTGTTCGCTGTTGTATACTAAAAGTTACGAGAAATATCTCATACTGTTAGTATAAAACAGTGTAATTTGGCATAACTATAAAAGCACTGCTACAAAAACGGAGCTATAATTTTTTACAGCATCAAACTGCTGTGTAATTTCTGCAAATTAAATCATTTCTAGTTTGGGGCCCGATGGGAATCTGGAATTCAAGAAAAAAGGCTGATTGACTTCTGTGAGAATGGATGTAGTTTCCTCCTGTGCCTGCTTCTTTTCTTTATGATGGCCTCTCTGGCTGTATACAAGTATTTTCTACAGGATGTGTTCTGGCAGAGAAAGATTAATATTGTGCTTTCAATCTCTGTTTTAGCTAAGTAAAATGACATTAAAGAAAGAATACCTACAACACAATATTTCATTTCTAATAGCACTGATATTTGGTTCATCTGTGCCTTCCTTCGTAGTACCAATCAGGAACATCAGCTTGGGCAGTGTTCCTTATGGGGAAGTGGAAGATGGCAGTGAGACTGCTTTTCTCTGCTCTGTGAAAGAAGGATCTTGGCCAATCCTCTTCAGGATTTTTAGAAAAACTGATCGTGACGTTCTTTTATTTGAAAGAAGTGAACATGCAGACAGAGTCATATGGCAGAAGAAAGAGATGAGCAGGCAGGACACGGGGACGTATTACTGCATTGCTTCTAATCGAGCTAATGTGAGTGCGAAAAGCCATCCGATAACCATCAATGGTAAGTTAAACTTTGTGATAAGCTGTGCATTCTGCCATCATGGCAGGCAAAGCTTGTGTTATCTGAAAAGTTATTAGGTATGTGGAGGTTACCAAATGTTTCTGTCTGTCTTGATCCACCACTGATAGAAGTTAAACAGAAGGACCATTTATAAACAGAGATTGTCTTACCTACATCCAAAAGCTTAACAAAAGCCAAAGGTGTTATATGCAAGCAAAATCAACCTGCTGTTGTAGACTTGTTTGCCACAAGAGAAAGGCTCACTTGTGATCTTTGCATGCAATTCTCCTTAAAGATCTTCACTAGAATGTAAGATGGCCAATTCATAGTAAAATGAGACCTCCCTTTACTGCAGAAATTGGTAATGATCACCAGTCACTGTACCTACTCTCTGAAACATGCCTTTCTTATTTCCAGTCATATTAGCATCTTGGCAGAAAGGAGTAATTACTGCATTTGTCCTGATACCTATCGCAGGAGTGGTGATTCTTGCTGTGTGGTGGTTTTGGTGTAAGAAGAAAAATGGTAATTATTCCCTTCTATTTCTTTGTTGATTACTATATGGCAGCTAAAACATTGCCTTTGCTTCAGGAGCAAAGAATCTGTAGGGATGAGGCTTCAGAAGATGTCTAAATACAATTTTAGAAACTAAAACATTCGCTTTAAAATGTGGGTGGCCCAAATTAAGCTGCAGGTGTGCTGAGTTTTCCAGGTATTTTAGGCAGAATGGGAGAACATCTCACTAAGATTCTGAAAAGACACTAGTGGAGCAAATATTTGTGGAGATTGACCAGAATCACACAGTTCTGATGTAGTTCCACACCTGGAATTGAGACTCTTGCAGCGTAAAGGCAAATGGGAACTGAGGGGCTCCATTTTTTTGCTCCATTATGGGGCTACAATGATTTGACTTGGGCTCCCAGCTCTGGAGTAGTTGTCATACCTCTCCTCATACTTGTCCTCATAAGGCCAAGATAAAATTATTCAATTTCTTTTCCCCATGCATGAGTATAATTTCACTTAGGCATTTGTCTTTTATTGTTAAGATAATCTTTCAGATCTTGTTCTTTCATAAAGTAAAGAAATGTAGTTTTAAATGAACATCCTACGACATGCAGTACATTGCAAAATTTGTAGGGAAAAATGGAGTATCTGGATGTCCCAGGCAGCTTAAATCAGCCAGGCTGAAATGCTGGATTTGAGAGCTTAACTTCTCTGCAGAAGAGACATTTAAGTGAGCTGTATTATAAACAGGATGTAGGACACTAGGTAATTCATTCTGTGATTGCTGAGAGAAGTTGCTCTGACTTTGGCAGATAATAACTATGTTTTTGTTTTTGTTTTTATTTTTAAATTGTTTTACTTGTGCTATGTATTAATAGATGCTTTTATTCTTTCTTTTTGCCAAGCTAAAGGACCGTCCATGGAGATGTCTCGGTAAGAAAGCTTGCTTTTTGGTCATGGTGAAGTATTTCTGTTTTTAAAGGCTGGAGGCCTTCCACCATACATTTATGGCTTATTACAGCACACACCTGCAAACAATGGATGGTTGTGCTTTGTGTACCACCTGCTAACACAACAACAGGATGAGGAAATAGTCTGGAAATTGTCTAGAAATAGAAAAAGGCCAGCAAGGAGACATATATTTGAATGCGTGTAGATATGGAATTAAAATTTTTGAAGTCTTAAAGAAGAGTAATGCAAGGGTGTCCACTTTTGACCTTAAAGTCTGCTTGTGCTTTTCTTAAAGACAGAAGCAAATTTTCCATTTGTTTCCATAGTTAGGAAAGCATGGTAGTCAGCATAGACAATTACTGATCTTCACATGTCGTCGTGTTGTTTTTATTGACTGCTTTGGATAATTGCATCAGCTTTTATTCGTTTGCTTTTCAGATCTGCCTTGGCTACAAACTCAACAAGTGAGAAACTGTCAAGACAGCATAATGATGGAGACTACTATTCTGGTAGGATATTTTGTTGTAAGACTGTGGGCCTAAATAAATATTTATTTAAAGTTTTGGACTTGCATGGCTGTGGTTTGGACAGGGCACTGTTTCTTGAGATTCCAGAAGATAATATTCTACTAAGTGTCTGCTATCCATTTTGTCTTTGCATGGCTTTTTATGAGCAAATCTTATACAAGGACTGGTTTACAAATCTGCTCAGGCACATCTACCAGGCAACTACTACAGATGGAAAGCTATGGCAAAAAGAGAGTTATTTTCTCTTTTTGATACGTTTTACATAGCTGCAAGAAAATGAGTTCAGTGAGAAAATTTGAGTTGTGGAGCGTGGTTCCATAGTCTGACCACAATACAGCAATGTTAATTTGTCATTACTGGTCACTTTCCAGGGTCTCAGTCAGGGTGAATTAGAGCACCTGCCTGCTGTGAGCAAAGTTAGCCCTTGAGATTTTTCAGCTGATCATTTAAAAAGGTGTACTTTTCCCACCTGTGTTACATGACTGTCTTTTACATGTGAATCTAAAAGTGAAATTTCTCATGTAAATAAACACAATGAGAAGAGGAATTGCAGTTGTGTAACTCATTCATTTGATTGGATAGAACAAATATTTGTTGGCTCAAATTTTGCTTGAATATTTTAGGATCAGGTTACATTGAAGATGGTGAAAATCACATGAAATCAACAGATGAAAATAAAGGTAATTTCATACTTGAAGAATAGATTTTAAAATTATGTTATAATTGAAAGTTGTAGTGTTTCCTTACAGCAGCAATTGGCATTTGTTAAATCTAGTCTCTCCTCTTTTTCTCTGATAGTGGAGAAGACTCTTTTCTTTGCCAAACATAATTGTTTTTCCTTATGCATAAAGTGACAATGACCAACCAGGCTATTGCAGATTTCTCCACCAGATGTAGAAGCCTTTTATTCATATGCTTCTAAAAATAACACTGTCTCTACTGTATTTGTGTGGCAATAGCCTTTTCTTCATCAAATGAGAGAAAGGAGCTTGTGGTCATTGTGTGGAACTTAGCCCATTGTGGCTTGAGTAAGGTAAATTAGAGCTAGAGACACTCACAAGCAAAAAACAAAAAAAACCCCAAACAGTTGAAATGTAGGAACTTAGGGCTGTATTGATCCGCCAGAACCATTGCTGTCTTCATGTCATTCAAACATTCCATCTAAACACTTTTTGTTTGTTTGTTTGGCTTTTTTTTTTTCCTTCTTCTATCACCATACTACTGGAAGGCTCTGATATTTTGCCATTTTTCTGTTCCAAAAAATTTTCATTTCCACATGACTCCAGTCTGGATTGCTGCAATGGGCCTTCCCAGCCTTTGCAGAAATCCAGTAGAAATCCTTCTATATCTCAAGGAAAAGAGAACAGAAAAAAACAGTTATTTCTTGTCTCTTTTGTGTCCAGCAAGCCAGTACTGCTCAGCCAGTAGATTTAGCAAATCAACTGTCTAATCACTGTCAGACCTTTTGTAGGCATTGTGGCAGAGGAACATTTTGAGACAGTGGATGTGTGGCCATTGTAGATGGAGAGCTTAAACAGCAGCACGGGGGAAAGTGCTGAAATTGCTTATTGGCCAGGCAGAAATTGAGAGTATGAGTGGTGACAAGGAAGGCCTTGAAGGACTTAAATAACAGTTAAACATGAGGAAAACAGAGAATAGGAAATGTCACTCTGGGGCAGCCCATGAAAAAGGAGGAAATTGTAATGGCAGGGAGAGAAAGAGAAGAGAGAAGACATCTAGCTGCAGCAGGAATAGGAGAAAATCTCAGTTTCCTGTTCCATTTGTGTTGTGATGCTTTTCAAGGTGTTAAGTGGAAAGTAAGAGGTGAGGTGCAGTTCTGACATCATAGTTTCAGAAACCTGGTTTGATTTGGTCTACTGCCTTTCAGATAGAAATCAGCCCTAGGGATGAGTAAGGCTTGCAGTTCTTTACACTCATATCTGCCATAAGTAGGGCCTGATCCTGCACCTATCAAAGTCCATGAGGATATGTCCATTAATTTCAGTGGCAGCAGGATCAGGCCCACAGCTCAAGTGAAGCATGCAGTGCTACAAAGAAACATCTTCTTGGTATTTTTGGGGCAGGACCTGACCTTGAGAGTGCTGAGGTGGAGTACACTGAAGTTGAAGTGTCAACGCTTGATCCCCATAGAGGTAAATAAGCTGTCTGGCCTCTACTGTTACGTTTTGGGAGTAACTCTGTGTTTGTTGCTACTCCCTGACACTGGTCTGACAATGACATCTGTAAAAGTAAGAGCAGGTTGTGTTCTGCGTGACAGCTTTGTACCAATAGTGTTCCTTAATCTAGATGATGCTGTGACAACCATGTTCTTGTTTGTTGCAACCCTTCTTCCTCAAGGATTCCTGTCATTTAGTTGCACATCCCATTCACATGAGGTCTGTGCAGAACTGGGCTCCCAGCTGGAGCTGTGGCTCTGAGAACAGTGCAGCCTACTGTGAGTCGTCACATTAAAGAGTCCAAAATTTATTGAAGGCTGTTTGAGCTTAGCCACAGGATAGGTTAATAAAGAGACATTTACACTTTGCTTTAACTTGATGAGAAGCAGGCTGAGGAAGAAATGAAAATTTGCTTTTCCCTGGTAGGAAGGAACAATCTCTTATTTCAGAGACCAAAAGCATACTTGTTTAATTAGGAATACAGACATTTGGGCAAAGTGCTCACTGTTTGAGCTTGGCAGCAAGTCTCTCCTGGAGCAGCCCATTTTCCTGTTCATTTTCTATTTTCTGACATGCTGGTGTCGTTCATCACAGAGTTTTCCCTGTATTCTGAGTATGGTGTAAATCGACTTCTGCTAAAATACTTCATTGCTCCAAACATTTGAATGGTTACTGCACAGTATAGTGGTGTAGAATGGTAAAGGTATGCTACCACACGACAGTTTAAATGAAAATTCCTATGTATTTTTTCTTTCTGCCCCTGTTGCAAATAGCAATACTGATCATAGGAGCAGTAGAATCATATTTTGTTCGTTGTGAAGAATACTGCAGTAAATACAGCAGTATGTTGGCCATGGCCATAGCCTTTGGGCCACTTGGGATAACTGAACACCATCTCAGAACAAGTTTACAGAATTGTAGAAGGATGCACATTTTGTCCTTGACAGTAAAGGAATGCAGTGTTTTAAGGCAGTGGCTTCACCCTCTTTTTACAGCCTTGTCTGTAGTAGCTGATCATTTATGAAATAATTTTTAACAAATCAGGAGCTTGGTGTGGACAGTGGTTCTGCCATGAACAAAAAGCAGTGCTTATTACAATGGTAATGATGGCGGTAAACTTGGTGGATGCAGTTTCACTGCTTTGCTTTGAAATTTCCATGTAGGAATAACCTAATGCCTGCTTTCTAAAGTGGAGGTGAAAGGCTTCCTCAGATATGGAACATGTAGCTGGAGCTACACAGGCTAGCTGTTCTTTGGGGCAGTTGGAACTGATTGTTAATTTGATATTTAAAGAATTCTTAAGAATGATTAAATTGAAAATGAATGCTTTTGGAGACTATGGGATGGACCGCAGCATTGTTGTATTTAAAAAAAATATATAAAAATAGGCAAAATGATTCAGATCTTTTGTTATTAACATGAGCAAACACAAAGCCAGTGCTAAAACATGGTCAGGAAATATCCATAAAGTAAGGAGGGGGAAACTACTAACCATGGGTAACAACATGTTCCTTCTTTTTTTTTTCTTTTGTAGTTGGTTAGTCATCTGTAGGGTGGGAACAAAATGTCAAATGATGCAAGTCATTTCTCCCAGCACATAATTTCAGTGTTGAGACAACTTCTGGAAGATTAGCAAAGAAAACAAAATGGGCAGTGGCATTATATAAAAATTTAATGAAATGGATTAAAAAAAAAAGAAGAAAGCTGAGGAAATACCTCCTGCCACGTCTTCCACAGAGACAACAGGATAAGGTTTAGGATTGTAGTCTGCTGAAAAAAGTATGTTCCAAACAAAAGGAGCTAACTTGCATTAAAATTCTGAAAAGATTTCTTCTTGCTATATTGGAAATTGTATTGATAATGTAACAATTGTCCAGAAGCATCTGATATGCACTTCACGATCTCCAGACTATTTTGCAAAGGAAGTTCATGCCAAAGCAGCAAGTGTGAAAGCTGTGATTTTGCACTTGGTAAAGTGCCTACTCCTACTATTGTTGAAATTAATAGTCATTTTCCAGCTCAATTCTGTTGCAGTAGGTCCCAGCATTTAAAGGACACTTAATAGAATTAACAAAAATTAGTTTAGCTTCAGAAAATTAGAATGTGGTGCCAGAAACACTGAGGTTCTTCAGAACAATGCAGAACAGTGGCTGTTCTGATTCTTAGTCTGTCTGCGGATCAGTATGTCTGAATTCTTTAAATGTTTCTATAGCTAATGTACGTTATTTGGTATCCAGAAATTTGCTTTCTCTTTCCAGTTTCCTGAAAACAAGGATCAGCCATTGTATCTATTTATTTTGCTTCAAATAGGAAAACCTAACTTTTTGTTTTAGTGATGATGCAGAGACATTGGAAGTGATATTGGTGAAATTCAGAGGTTTACCAAGAGACTTAGTTCAACCCAAATTAATCAATGTTCTTAAAGTGCCTTGAGATCCTCAAACAGCAAGCTTGTAGGCCCTACCTGCATGGGACTTGATATAAACCAATGAAAGTCATTTTCTGTATTCATCGTTCAAGAGCATTTTGCTTCATTATTCACTTTAGAACCATGCAAGAAATCAAGGAAATTGTTCTAATTTCCTAGTTGCCAGAACAGTGTTTATACTGGCTGTAGAGAAACTGACTTCTTCAGCTTTTAAGCCTTTGGCCAAGGTCTTTCCTCACTGGGGTAACTGTCCACAGTTATGCTATTTGGTATCACATTTGATTTGTTGAGTAGGAGAAAAAGGAAGAGCTTTCTGCTTTCCAGCTTATACAAAAGTAGAAGTTTAGCTTTTTGTAAACCCAGCACCCTGAAAAATGGATGGCCAAGGCTAACATTACATTTAAATCCCAGTGATGTCCTTAGGGGCATTCAACTTCTGTCTGCATTTGTTATATTCTGTCATTTCCCAGGTTTTCTCAGCCTTCACTCCTGATCTCAGTTCAGTAATGGGAGAGTTGTGCCTCACTGAGGAACTGAAAGGAGATGCTTTCTGGTTAGGACCCAAATAGAGGCCGTGCGCTGTGAAATCTGCTGATCTCAATTCTCTCACAAATCTCTCTGATTGTGAAATTCTTCTGAGATCTTTCACAAAGAGCAGCAATTTAAATTGTTATTGTGACTGTAAGATGTAATCAAGTCATTTACCAAATGGGGCTGCAGTTAGTCTTCGAATTAGAGACCTCTTCAGGTCTAGGATCCCTACATCCTTCTAACAAATAGAAGAAGCCTTCTAAATGATCTAGAGAAACTCTTCTCTGATGTTAGATGTTTCTGCAAAATTTAAATAATTTCTAATTTGAAAAGATTATTAGAGTGTTAATATTTAAAAGGTAAGGTCATATTTATTATTTTATATATAGAGAGAAATACATTTCCTTCTCAGAACTTGATAGGCTTTTGGGGGAGGGGGATTTTGTGCAGAATCCACAAGGTTAATTTCTGCTTATGTAACTGCTTCCTCTGAAGGTAAAACAGTGTGTTCTGTTTGTTTAAGGAGCTTTTCATAAGGCAAACATAAAAAAGAAAAGAAATTGATTCTGTGCCAATACATTTTCCAGCTCCTGTACAGAAGGGGACTGAAACAGTTTATAGTGAAATCAGAAAAGCTAATAATGGTAAGTAAGCTAGTGAAAAATTAAACACATAAAGGAAGTGTTTGTGTAGAGATTAGGGTTAAATTTGTGACTGTGTAGTTTTGAGAGAAATGCTGTAAAGTCTGATCCAAATCACACTGGCACACCTCAAATAGCAACTAAGGAATCACAGGTGTTGATAAACTGTGTGACACATTATGTTTTCATATAAACCAATGATACTCAATGCAGTAAGATTGATATTTGTAACATCTGCTTCATCAGCCCATTAACACTGTGTTAACTGAGTGATTTGGCTCATGTCAGAGTGTGGAGCTGAACTTACCCTGCAAGGAATTGGGATCTTGTGTTGTGATTCAAATGCCTCTCCAACAGCAAATGCTTTAAGCATGATAAAAAATGTCTCAGGTTGTATCTGCTAGCCCCTCTGCCCGTCTCTTATTTACTGTGGCAAAGATTTCAGGCGTTGTATTACAGACGGGCATCCTATCAATTGTTATCTATAAATGTTCTGGCAGCAATGAATTCAGAGGCAATTAGTGAAAACTAATTCTTAATAGTTTGTCCAAAAATAAGTCAGAAAAGATTTTTTTCTCTTTGTCAAGATTTACATATCTTAGCGCTGTGAACTGTTCACTTTTTCTTCCCATCCATATTATTGACTGGTTTTGCTGTGTGCCACGTTTAAATGTCGATCTTTCTGGTTTTGTTTGCTGTGTCTCTATTTTATAAGGCATTTACCACCCTCCTCCAACACAGTATTATGTTTCTAGGGAACTTTTCACTTGAGGGTCTCCAAGTAGTTTACAAAACATTACTGGGTTTTCCCTTGTGATGCCTTTTAAGTCAATTTTATCTTCGTTTTACAGCTGAATAAACAGCGAGATTAGTTCACTTGTTTAAGGCAGTGCACTCAGATAGTGACAACACTGGGAACTGGATTTCAGAATCCCAAACTCCTGGCTTGGTGCTGAGCCTCAAAGGTCTAGTAATTTATTTTTTTCCAGTGGAAAGCAGATAATCCTTTGCACCAAAGAACAGGCTTGGACACTTAATGCAGGATTGTCTGGCAGCATTATGATTTCAGGCCCAGGTTCACTAATGCTCTGGAGACTTTTCCATTGAGTGTAGGTCGGGCTTGGAATGAGCTGCAGGAGCTGACTGCATCACCTCTCCATTGCTTTCTGCTCAAGTGTGAAGCTGAGTATCATGTCTTCACCATCCCTATTTTTGACAAAACAAGATGTTTTATACTGAAAGGATGTTTTATGAGTTGCTGTGTTAACTCAATAGATGGTACAGCACAGCTGCAATTCAAAGCACTTAATAACAACTGTATCTGCTGTAAGGTGGGAACTGCAGTAAAATGAGATCTGATTGGAAGACTGGTCTAAACTAGCCAAATAGCAAGCAAACACCCCTTAATTTTGCTCTCCACCTGCTCTTTTATGCACCACGTTCTACAGTTTCAGTTATTCTTGGAAACGTAGTAACAGTTTATTGTTTTAATCACGTCTGTTTTTCCTGACTGATGCACAGGAAAAGTGTTTGAAATAGATAAGCAGTGCATCACATGGCTGTGCAGTAGCTTTGTTACAGCCTGCTGAAAGGTAACATTTATTTTAATTTTTGATCAAATTTGATTGCAAAATAGCAAAGTAAAAATGCTGTGGAGGAAATGAATTTTCACAAGTATTTTGATGTGTTAATACAAGTATATTAATGGCTAATTCTGAAAGATACTATTACTAATGGTTGCAGAGGGTGGCTTGCCTTTATAACCTTCACTAGTCTCAGTTATTCTTGGAGGTTTCTGGGCAAATGCCTGGCAGTGCAGTCTGCTTCAGGAAGTTAATGGTTCAGACAAACTTGACCTCTGGGGAAATGACATGAATTGGGGAGTTGGTGTCAGCTACGCTGTTTGACAGCATAACATCTAAGACCTACAAATGTGTTTTTATTATAGTTTGTAGGTTACTTGTGTAGTTTTGGGTCATTAAAACAGAATGGAGTGTTTCAAAAGCAATTCAGTCTTTTCAAGGAGTTGCCTGTGCCTTTCAGATATCGTGTCCACTAGAGAGGAAGCTGAAGGATCAGTAGTTGTTATGTCTGATGCAATTTTCTCTGACTGAGCCAAAATATTTTTTCACTTCATTTGTCTGGCTGTGCTCTCTGCTGTCCCCTGTAAGGCAGATGCCATGTCAGTAACCAGCTTCTCTTTTATTTTGAGTTCCACAGCTATTGCTTGTCCCTATCCTAAATCCATAGTGCGCCATCTGACCTTTCCCAAACACCAAGCCTTTTGTGATGTGTTGAGCATTTGCCATTATTCTTTTTCTTTTTGTTTTTCCAGTATCGACTGTTATCTCCTGTTACTATCATTCCAGTGTCTGAATCATACAGTGGTAATACTTCCTATCCTATCTGCTGCTCTGCTTTCCTCATTCTGCGTGCCAGACATGAGGTGATGCTACTTGAAAAATGGACATGAGTCTCAGAAACAAACTATCAAATACATATTCAAAATCAAAGATCTGTGTAGGGTTAACTGTACTTAAACTCAGTAACAGTAGTAAGAAAAGCAAGTTTTTGTAACATTAAAGCCTAGTCAGGTGTATTTTGACTGAAAGTCAAAGAGCTGTGTTGTGGGTAAAGGAACTTCAGTTTCCTTAAGTGAATGCTAGATTTCCTTTGAAATAACGAGAGGTGTAGGGAGGATGCTTTTCATAGTAGTTTTGTCTTTGGAAGCAACTCAGACAGATGAAGTTGTCTTGGAACTGTTGGTGAAAGGCTGGTTTAAGTAGAACTTTTTCTAGAGCAATAGGCTGCATATTTAGTATTTTACAGTAAATACAAAAAGCTTCAAGCCTCAGTTTTAAATCAAATCCTATATCCAAATGGCAATGTGGTGAATGCTCACAATTAGTTCTAGTCAGGTCAGTAGCACTTTGGCCTAAGAGTCCTTTGCATCTATCAGGATAAGCCAATTTCCTTAAAATGCTGCTTTCTCTGGTTGCCCTGTGAGGAGGTCAAAGCATATTGGGAGTCTGGGGAATATCCAGCCCAGTCCCGGAGCCGTTGCCTTTTGTTCAGAACAGAGATTGTCTGAGACATAAGCAAAACAGACAGTTGTCTAAGTCAACAGACTGCTGAGAGTGATAAAATGACTGTGGCCCTGCTGCCTGCTTTGCCTGTGCTGAGTCCCAGCGGAGCAGGCTGGCAGCTGATGCTGTTCCTGAAGGAGGGGACAGGATGTGTCAGACACTCAGCTCGGCTGGGAGGGTGGAGGCTCTTTAGATGCATGATTTACATTCATCACACCTTTCATCTTCCCAAGAGACAGTAGGGGCAGGAAGTCCAGGCCGTTCTGTGCTGATTCTTTCTCTCAGCTTTCCCCTTCCCTTAGCATTGATCCCAGTTCTTGGGGCAGCACAGTTCTCAGCACCTTGCTGAGAAGACGGGCTCACCCTTTTTCACAGATCTCTTCTCAATTAATAATGTTCTTGCTCTGTCAGTGAACTCTGCCTTTGCTCTACGTCAGATCCAAAGCTCACAAAAGCCACTGATAGTCTGTGCACTGATCTTCATGCATGTGGATCACAGAACTCTCAGTAGCTTATTGCAAGATAACTGCTCTCTGTTCATAGCTTCTCATCAGGAAAGTGGAAGCCTAGTGAACAAAATGCAGACTCTACCTTTATGTTGCTAAATCTGGATGAAAGAATTGATCACTTATATGCAACTGCAGTGTCAAGACAGGAAATTCTAAGAATCCTATTGCCACTAACAAAGTACAGTGAAAAAATAACTGTATCCCAGTGGAGAGACATGAGAAATTTCCATTGCACAGAGTGCTTTGGAACAAGCTATTAGAAATCAGTTCCAGCAATCAGGAAATCTGCTAAAATTCTTTCCTGCTACTGAGGCGCCAGCATAATACCTCTCTGTTCAGCTAGAAGTTCCCACTGAATGCCTTTTCCAGCATAGAGAAAACCCCATGGGTGAGAGGATTCATGGTGGTTATTCAAAAGTCAGACATTATGAGCATCTGCTGGTTGCATGCAGTCTGAGATTGTGCAAGTAGTGTTTCCTTTCTCCAAAATAAAACTGTGTTTCTTTAGGTTTCAAGACATGTTCTAGACCAAAGCCTCCATCTGAGACATTGATTTCAGAGCCAAGTGCTAACTGCACCTTCAGCCAAACATTAGGCAAAGCCAGATGGTTTCAGTAAGACAAAAATTTGCAGGGAGCTTCTGACCTTACTTGAACCTAAAAAGCAAAGCACAATTGTGCACATGCTTCTGTGTAAGATCTATTCCCAAACTGCCTGCCAAGGTTCTGTGTTAGAAGTTAATGCTCCAGTGAAAGACTTGGCAGAATGTAGCATGTGATTGTTATTCAGCTTCTTCTGTTTATATTGTAGCATCTTAACTCTTGACAGTGTTGGACGTGGGCTTGAGATAGTCTGTAAATTGCAACGGCTTAGAGCTATCATCTCTTTTCCATAGCATTTAGCAATAAAGGGGAGCAGATGGGGGATGACAGTCTCTTAAAGTTCTGCCATTAGAATGCCCCTTCTAAGAATGTGTTATTTGAATTTTAAAATCTATAAACAAAAAGTAGCAAGAACTTAAATCCATCAGAAATCCATAAAAGCACCTGTACTTGGGAATGTTTTGGATGTCACCAGAACTGGATCTTCAGCTTGTTTATTTCTGGTTCTGTTAACAAATATACAACTCCTTGTTTGTCCTGCTATGGAAAATTGACCAGTTTGTCCGCATGGGATGCAGCTGATCTCTATTTTCCTGTTTTTGGCAGTAGGGGAAGACAGGTAGGGGAAGAACTTTGTTCTTTCATCACAGTCAGATCAGATTGGTTCAAGTAAAATGCTCTTTGTATTTTTAACAGGAATGAAAAAATAACATTGCGAAAGGATTGGTGTAGAAAAGAATCAACATGAACATTATATCCCTTCTAGAGAATGTGCACTGACATACCTGATCAGCACCTTGTAGAAGTCGCATGGCGCTCTAGGAGCACTTCCAAAGGACGTGTGATGTTCTCCTGGTAGAGATATGGTCCTTAGCTAGAAAACCACACTATTTTGAGTCTAGGTGACAGGTTACAGGACGAGATATCTGTTATTGTGACCTGGTAGCTTTGGAGTAGCAAACATCCCGTTGTTTGATGTTTGGAATTTACACAAAATTCCTCATTTCCTCCTTCCTGCAGGCACAATGCATTGTCACAGAGGCCTAAACTGCAACTCGTTAATACCTTGCTTCATAAATCATTAGCATTTTTGTTCACTTTGGCTGAAAGAACAAAAAAACTTGTGTTTCTCACGTAAGTTTTTGTTTCTGATTAAACCAACTGAAAATGTAGGGATGGGTTTTATACTGCAATTAAATTCATGTGCTGCAGACACCTGAGCTTCTAGGACTTTTGTTAGTCTGAACATTGTAGATAGAATTGTTTTGAAGAAAATTGACAGTGTGCAGTTAAAGCAATAATCTGTTTCTCTGCATTTTTTGCATTTTTGCAGCCTAACTGCACGCCGTGTTCACAGTGCTGTTTTCAGTGAAGACAAATTATAGTCCTAATGAAATAAAAGTGCTGATTGTAGAAACAGCATGAGCCTAACTGCACACAAATTTATGTGAATGTAATCATAAAGGAGACAGAAAGAGAAATGAGTATTTTAATTTGCAAAGTTAGATTTGCCTTTATTCAGTTACTTCATTCCTTGTGCTGGCTGCCAAAGGAGTTTCTAGAAGACCTTTAGAAAGGTCTGCTTGCAGTCCTTGTTTAATCATTCCAGAACAATTCTCAAACTTTAAACAAGTGTTCTGCCTGTAGGAGGATTGATTATATTATTTGCTATTTTAAAAATGTTTACTCAAAAGCACAGATTAAGAGACTATTCCATGTCAATAGAAAAAGTACTGAAAATATTAACCCAGAGTCCTAGCTCAAACCCTTTACTTTGAACACAACTTCTCCCTGCTGAATTTTGTACACTTTCCAAGAAAACAACCTTCAAGACCGAGCATCTGCTTTTGTAAGATGAGCAATATTTTAACAAACCATACAAAAGAGTCCAGTAAGACTCAAATTCCTTCTCTGAAAAAGGACTTATTTTCCTCATGTCTCTCAATTGTTTTACTTCCAGAGGACAGGAAAATGTTCATGTTCTAGTATTTGAAGGCATTGTCTGAAACTTCTGAATAGCTGAATCTGCTCTAAAAAGTAAATGTAAAATCTAATTTTAAAGTTTACTATCCTAAATGTAAAGAGCCCACTGGCTCCCAAGTTTTCATTGGAAATAAGCAGCTTTTTACTAACAAAATTTCAGGCATCTTTGTGTGATCTTATTTGGCTCTGAAAATTGTTTCCTATATCAGGTTTCTGCAATGTAGTATTTTCCTGGCAAGGAGCTGGAAGAGGAAATACAGTGCTCATGAGAACTTGCCTCTGAAAGGAAAACTTTTTTGTCCAGTAACAGCTTGTGCTCTCAGAAGAAACTTCTGCTCTAAGCCACTGTCAAGAAAGCTGTCAGACATACTGATGGACATGGTTTTGAGATGTCTGGTCCTAACCATGTACTTGAATGAGCTAGAGCTCAAATATTTTCTAGAGCCAGAGTTTGAACCTTAGTTGAAGGTAACAGTTCTGCATCATTGCAAGGCCAACAAAAGAAGCTGTTACACAGAGCAGCCTATCTGCTGAAACACAGAACTGATCACTCCACAATGTACCACTTTGTAATTTATACACTGTGTTTTGTTTTGTAGATTCTGTGGAAAACAGGCATTCCGTAAGTATGCATTTTTATGTAAGACATTACAGATAGGGAAAGTTGGAATGAAATTATTGTGTATCTAGAGAGATAGTGTTCAAGCATATGTTTTAATTGTTTATTTGTTGGTCAGGACCTCTACAGGATAGCAATCCCTTCAGAAATACTCATACTGGTCAGGCTGTGTGTGGAAACCAGGGAAAAACAATATATTAAAAAAAAAAAAAAAGGATAAATGCCTTGTATGAGTTGTTCCTCAGCGTTCAAGAAACCTGATGCAGAGACATACATTTCAAGAGAACTTTCTTGAATGTTAGGTAAGCTGTCTAATCCAACCTCCAACCAGGCAGGCATGTTTTTATTCTGCCATCCACTTTGTGGCTTTGGAATTTAAAAAGCAAAAAAAGAAAGAGAGAAACTCATAAATAAGAATCACAATAGCACAGTCTACGTCAGCTTACGGCATCCATTTGAGTTTTGAAAGGCTCCATCAGTGCTCACCTCCCCGTGGGATATAAGAGCAACCCATTGTATTATTTACAGACGCTGGCAGAGTGCTGGAGGTCACAGGTTGTGTTACAGTAAACAGACGTATGTTAACAGGTCAGTTGGGTTTATAGGATCATTGTCTCTCTTAGTTTAAAGGTTTCTTTTTATTCTTTGCTCTCAATTTTCTAAAAATAGATCAGGCTGAGCACTCCTCTGGGTTATACCACGCATTCCTTGGGGAGTTACACAGAAGAAAGTTTGTTCCAGTCCTACACAGCAGGAAAAATAGTCAAGTGGCTGTGACAGATATCTGGTGTCAGCTCAGGGAGGAGCATTTGTAAAGAATGTTGGAGAAAAGGCTGAAGTTTTACAAGTATTTTGTGGTTTCTGTTCCTGTGGCCAAATCTGAGTGAAAAAAAAAAATCCCTCCACAAAAGTATGAGTCTGCTTTAGGGAAAATGTGCTGACTACCCACTTATATCACTTCAATTTTAATTGGGCTATTAAAACTTGCTAAACTGGGCAATCTGTGAAGTAACATTAGATTCAAGGGAAAAAAGTGTCAGCTGAGGGCAGTGCTTTCTCTGTGTTGTCTGCACAAACTCCTTTTAACAGCAGGAGAGCAATAAACTCAAATTCTCTGTAAAATCAATCTTCTTTTCAGAAACACCCCCTAGAAAATTCAGCTTCTACATCTTATGCGAGTTTTCCCAGAAACAGCCTTCCTCAATGCAAGCCTTGAAAATGTCCCTTTTTTTGATACTGCTCTATACTTAATGTGTAACTTCTTTTTTGATATAATAATGTTTTAGAAGACATGGCAAAAAACAGATCCCACCAGCCTTTTAATTCTCCAGCTGAATCACCTACTGTAGGATTGGATAGACGTATTTCTTTGTGGAGTTTCCAGGCAGCACAGATGAGTAGAAAAGAGGCAGGAAGCTACTAAGGGCCTTTATAGCATTATTTTATTGCGACTGCTCTCCTTTGTAGCTCATTTTAACTTAATACATAATTCTGAGGTTTGGTCCAAATGAGGAATCGTTGGTCCTACTCATGAAAAGGAAAATGCTCCTCATAAAGAGATCAAGTGGCTTAAACTTCCTCCCCAGCTGTTCTACCTCTTCACAGCCAAATGAAGTATTTGGATGAGGTGAAGTTGCTTTTGCTTTGCTCTCATTTGTGAGAGAAGGGAGGCCTTCAGGCACTAGCCTGGTCAGCTGGCATCTTAATCGCTTCTGAAATGTCAGATGAATTGCTTAATTACAGTGACATGTCAAAAAACTTGCGGAATTTGACTCTCTCTAAGCAGTAATAGTATTCCAGAAGGGTCACAAAAGGCACAACAGGCAGCAGTGTTTTGCTACGAGCTGTGCTTTCAGAGACAGGAGGACATGCAGTGTTTTTCTTCAGTAATTAGGGTGCAGACTCAACATCAGATCCTGCTGTCCTTCTCACTCTAAAGTCAACAGTGTGGCTTCCACTCCTCTGATAAACTCTGTTAGCTTACTCAGTTCTGCACTGGTCTTCCGGTAGTCACAGACAATGCTGTGGAAAAAAGAGGATGAAGAAAATCATTTTAATAAGTGCTGGTCTTGCCCCCATCCCTTCGTCCCTATGTGTTTCTGTCAAAATAAATATAACGTAGCATAGAATTTCATCAACTTTGCTTTCAGCTCACATTGCAGTTAGCACTGCTTACTATGTGTTGTGTTACAGAGTCATTGCAAGTGGCTGTATTATGTCAAGAAAGGTGATACAGGATAGAAGCAATCACTTCAGTCTGCTTTATTTGAACTATGTGAAGGCTGAATTGCAGTACAGGTTCTCACCGGTTTTGAAGCTCGGGGTAACTTGAACCTGAATGTCTTGGACTTCTAGGACATTTAGAAATGAGACCAAAGTTTTTGGGGTGGGGGTTACTTCCCTCTTTCTCCTCTGTTTCAAGAATTTGTATCTTAAATGCCATCCATAGGAAGTATTTGCAAAAGAAATGAATTACTTAAAGAGGAACTGGGAGGAGGTTTCCTTCCTGAAATCAGAGCTGGCAATCTTTCTGAGTTATTTAACGGTCCCAGTTTCTGAAAACATATTGAAGGAAATATCTTAACAATGAGATAGCCACTTCGCCAAATACTAATTGGTATTGTGTCAGATTTACCTCACTGGTACATTCTGACTTCATATCTCCTCCTCCCCTATTGTGTCTTAGATGTTTGTGTGTTTGTTTGTTTGTTTGATTCTGTCCTAGGAGTATATGAGGACTGGCAGCCCCAGTCAGAACATAACGTACTTTTAACCACCTATTTGTACAGCCTGAGAACGTACCCTCTGAGATAGAAACCTGTACAATTTAAATCTATTTGCAGTAAATTGTTTTCAGTTACTTTCTCATCTCACTCAAGCTATTCCCAATGCATTTTGTAAAGAAACTGCTTCACAGTGCCAGCACAAGATAGGCAGCTCTGAAGGGGGACCCGGCATATGTTTAAGTGTGCATGGTAACATGGCACAATAGCTCCAGACGGGAAATGAGGATGAAGGATGTGTCCATTTAAAATTAGGGGGGCATTTCAGGCAGTCAGGATATGAAAAACAAGGTGATACTCTGAAATAAACACTGCATTATAAACCAGGAATTCCTGCCTCTGACTCATGGGGCAAATCCTCTGGGGGTAAGTCCACAAAAGGAGTTAGGCGCCTCAGTGCTGACAGAATAAATCATTAACTTAGAGGCCACCACGTACTCTCTTACCAGATATTTGTAGGAGGAAGACTTGCTTTGGCAACAGATGTCAGGAAAGACCTGATGGTTGTGAAGCCTCAGTGGACAGAATTATTTCTGTCACGCAGTGTAAAAACTATGAAATTTGGGATCTCCTTGACCTTTCCCTTTGGTTAGGACTCCTCATCTGCACCCTGCCTCTTGTGGTTCTGGTTTCTGTGTTCTGAATAGCTTGAAGCAGTAGGAATGCTGTCAGAAAGCTTACCAATGCCTTGCTCACTGTTGATACAGTCAAGCACTCTTTGGGAAAGCTTTTTTTCTTGTGAGGCTCTGGAGGGGAGCCTAATTGTGGTAAATGGACATCTGCTGTAAAGGACTTTCAGACCATAAGAATCCAGGTTTTCTTCGTAAATGCACCATTACAGATATTGCTACTCAACAGTATTGCAGTCCAGTCTGTAATTGTTAACCAAAATCTCCTGCTGTCTTATCTCCATTTTTTATCTGGTGAAGATAATGCTAATAATTCCCCAGGGAACTGCATTTATTTTTTCATTGTACCGTGCTCTAAGGAAGATGCTGTTACATTTACTGTTTTTGTATTAATCAAAAAATAACTGGAGAAGACAGGGGGCTGCTTATACTCATACCCTTTTTTTTCTTTTTTTGGTCTTGTTGCCAACAGAGAATACAAGGGCATCCTGATGCTACTTAGAACAGCCATCTCAAAAAATCAGCTGGGAGAAGAAAACAAGCCAAGATGGAAGATGTTGCAACTGTTTCAAAAGCTCTGCAGCACTTATCAGTTTGCCAGGCTCTTTTCAAAGTTTATTTCCTCAGGGAACAATAGAGATGTTCCTAACATGTATAATGGAAAAAATTGCAAATAAAAATTCTCATAGGAAAGTGGCTCTGGAAACCACTGACCTAGGTTCCCATCTGTAATTTCTTCTGCTAATGCAATTTTGCTTTTCTAGCCCCTAATTTGCCATACTCTGAGGAAATAAAGGGAAAAACTACATCTGAGGAAGTACATTTCTACAGTGCAGTAACTACTGTGATGCTAGTAAGATTCAGAAATATCTAAGCTTGCTTTAAACTAGCTGACTTGGTTATCAGTAACATTGTACCACGGCAGAACATAGCTCAGCACAGCCAGGCCAGATGTGGATGTTCTTTGAAATGATCTTGCATGTTGTGCTGAACTCCCTGTGCTGCAGCAGCTGGACTGCTACCAGTCTTGGAGCCAGCTAATTTATGGCTCATCTGGATGCTACACTACAATGAGAGCCTAATGAAAGAGCAAGACCTGGGCTCTCTAAAAACTTGAATAACTGTTAAGAGATTCAATACTTTACCAAGTGCTTCTGCCAGAAGAGGCACAAATATTCTTTATTCTTCGCTAAACTGCTTTTTCCTTCTGAAAGTTCTGATGCTTGTTGTTTAGTTCACTGTGATGATTCTTCAAGGAATGATTGCCAATCACGGTTATTTTGGAAGATGCAAAATATAGATCTTGAGTCAGTGGACATGCTATACGCAGGTCAGTGAGTTTGTACCTGGAAGTTCTGTATGTATAATGTTTATTCCTTTGATTTAAGAGAGATCTGAAGCTATATTTGTGCCCAGTTTGTCCAGTATAGAGCTTCATACCTATCCCTTCTCTCTATGGTATGATAAGCCACTGTCATGTGTCCGGTTCTGGACCTGGATCTAATCTCTCAAGTCTTTATTTATCTCAGTTGCATTAGTTTAAAAGCAAAACAAAAAG